AAATTTGATGATGCCAACATATTTTTCAAACAAGAAAATTGAAATCTTTACATGCATGTTGCATGAAACACCTGATTGCAACTGCAATTAATGTAAAACCTAACTGACTTCATATATAGGTTCTATATAATGTGGTCCTACTTATCGTTTCCTTTTATAGATCATACTGATCGATTGTATTTTGTCCTTTATCAATTTTAAAAATTGAATGGACTATTTTCCTGAATTTCTGGTTAAGAAAAAAACAAATTTCCTTGAGAAAAAAATGAATGTGGCTTGAAGCAAGTCTGAAGTACAAAGCTATGTATCACTTTTTGGTGGTATGAGGTAAAATGATAATTACCAGCTAACTTTTTTATACTCCAATGGTCCACTGTGTAGACATGGAGAAACAATTGGGTTGAACTTTTGATAGTAATCTGTACAAATGGATCTGTTTTAGGATCATAATTTCATCCTTTGATCTAAAAGGTTTTCTTATGTACCTTTATCTGTCTGAGATCCCTGTGATACTTTTTCTCTCTTCTTTTTTTGTGAAGATTGATTGATTGATCTGGGTTCTAACCTACCTTTATCACTTTGTGATTATTATAACATGATCTGTTCTAAGGTCAGTGTTTCTTCCTCACTTCTGTTAGAAGTGCAGATATCCTTCATTTCAAAAATGTTTAATTTGAGTCTGACTGATGATTTTTGTCGTAGTGATTGGTGACTTTTGTGAAGACGATTGTTCCTCTACTCAGTTTGAGTACAGTGTGCCTTGGTGATGTCGCCAAGTTAATGTTGTGATGTGTCATCACGTGGACATATCCCATGTCCTTCTTTAACATTGACTTTTGTTCAATAAACAACAACAAAATCTAATCATCTGCTTGTTGTGTTCCTGTTTTACATGTTGATGAAGATCTACACTGTGATAATTCATAATTTTCCACTGATGGAGTGATTTTTCCTAATCTCATATGAAATCAGAGAACAGCATTTCAAACAAGTACGCTTGAATATTTTTTAATTTAATGAAAGCCTAGTCAATATTTCACCCTACAAAATTTTATAAACTCATATTTCATGTATAAGGTCACTATAGGTCATCAAAATTAAGAGGAAACATGAAGCTCTTCTTGTTTTTGTAGGACAAAAAATGCAGAGATTTAATTCCCATGCAACTTATAATTCAGCATGTGGACAGTGATGGTAAAAGATTTAGGGCATTTCTGACTGAAATCTAGAGCTTTCGTTTGAAACAAATAAAATAATTACAAATGTATATTACAAATCAAGCGTCATCGTGTTAAAATGCTCTAAGGAATTAAGATACAGTTCAGTTTATTTAGCAGCTGTAACCCCACCAGCAGTCCACTATGCCAGAGGGTTTGGCACACTTCAGGAAACATATGTCTCAACCCCCCCCCCCCCCCCCACACACACACACACACTCAACTACAGATCTGAAATATCTAATCCAGTAAAATACAGAAATACTCTTTAATAACTGTTTATTTAAATATCCTACAGTTAGAAGCTAAAAATATGGGGTGCCATATTGGTATGTTGGTGAAGATGTCATTTATTTTTGGTTGTATTTAACACAGTTTTAAGCCTTGATGGACACTAATGGTGTTCTTTCCCTCCAGATGGTTGATGACGTCAGGCTGTGCCTCTATTATTACACAGCACCAGCATCATTCACAAAAGCTCCTTTCAAAGTCTCTTTTTTTGTGCACTGACCACATCATGCAAAGACTGCGTGGGAAACTGGGGGCTACTTTCTGCTCACACAAACTACCACCCACAGCACACTGAGCCGACACACCTGCTACATCTGGACACCATTATGACTACATTCATCCCAGAATTTTCACCCGACAATTAATTAAGTTCTTCTCTATCCGAAATTAGAATAAAGAAATGCAAAAAATGATATTAAAATCACAAGTTGGTTTAAAGTGCCTTACATTGCTGTCTAAAGTATGTTTGGTTTTACATTAAAATAATTGGATGCTTAAAGTACAACCCTGTCATAAGCATATGGATTATTTTATCATGGATGTATAAATGTACACAAACAAACTTAAGGACAAGGGTGAACAATTTGAGCAAACACCAAGTCAATGTCATTGATGCCAGCATCAATACTTAATGTTATAATTGTCATTGATCAAACGATTCAGAAGATTGGATTGTCTTTATTGGCAGGTTTTTCTTACTGTGATGCTTGATTCCTGCGGCTGATCTTTTGTAAAATCTAACTGTTCATGCACTTTTCATAACAGTTTTGCTAAATGACAAAAATTTAAACTGCTTGCCATGCATTATTAAACCAATGCAAAAGGGGTTCGTGGGTGGCTGTTGCTCAGTTAGTAGAGTCAGTCGTCTCTCAACCAGAAGGTCGGGAGGTTGATCCCCAGCTCCCGCAGCAACATGTGCAATGTTTCCTTAGGTAAGAAACTGAACCCCCCAATTGCTCCTGCTGCTTCGGCGGGGGCATGTGCATGTGTGTGAATGGGATTGGGTCTTCTGATGGTCACTTTACACAGCAGCCTCTACCATCAGTGTGTGAATGTGTAGGTGTGACCTGCGGTGGAAAAGCTCTCTGAGTAGTCAAAAGACTAGAAAGGTGCGACACAAGCTCAAGTCAATTTACCATGTAACTCTTGGTTATTTCTGATCTTATTGTTAAACTATTTAAAAAATATTATTATAATGTGTTCTGTTTACTGTAAAAGCTTTGTTCAGTGTTTTCTTGTCGGGATATTCATGTGTCAATGTAGTTCCTTTTAAAAGAATCAATGAAATTTAATAGCTTTATTTGTAGCTATAGGACTTCTAAAAACAAGAGTTTCACAAAGTGCTTTGACACATGCAGGAGCATAACAGAGCAAAAGAACCCAAACAACAACAACAACAGCACAACAACAGAGTAACCGAAGGATTGAAACACCCAACCAACAACAACAACAACAACAAAACCCCCACAGTAAAAAAAACATTCATTAGCCAGTCATTAGCTATAATGACCAGATCAGTAGTGTGTTTTTGTGTTTATCCATTTAGAAAATACTCTCATACTTAATAGAGTATCGTGTACTCAGAGAATTCATGAATCATAAGTGTTTTGTTTTTTTCTCTTTCTGAGAAAAGTGAGTCTTGAACAAAACTACAAGTTGTCATTGTGATTCAGTATCAACTTTAGCTGAAGCTTTCTTAATTTATTGGGTTCACATCTTCTTGTGAAAACAAAGTCTGTGAATTGTAACATTCCTGAGCTTGTGTCATCGATTTGCAATGTCCCTTCAAATGTGGGCGGTACATGGCATTCCTCAAATATTTGAATGATAAAACATACCAAAAGTGGTTCAAGCAAAGCTGTTCCTGTAAATGTATTATAAATGAGTGAGTTGAAACGATCATTAAAAGGATTTTGCTGCAATTTTAAGACGTTTAAGACACTTCAGTGTTAAAACTCTAACAATGACAAGGTTCCTATTTAAAGGGGTCAGACATATCGTAAGTGGTGCATAATGAGGCACACTTCAATTGTTCCTGCAGTGAAAGCAGAGAGTGTGGGAAAGCAGAGGAAACTCTCTCACAGAGCCCTGTGGGACAATAGATCCCGACCTCTGACCTGAAGAGAGACAGATTCAAATGACCCTGCTACAAAAAGTTCCTAAGCAGTTAAAATAACTTTATACTTCATTTAAAAATGTTTTTCTTCTTGATCAAATACCCTTCACAACAATTGGGGTTCTGCAAACTGGTCAATTAAGAAATGTGCAAAAGGATTGTTATTTAAGGTTATTGATCTCTGAATCGTTGGGCTGATAAACTCCTGAACATTCCAGGTTTTGTGATGTTTTTTACATTCAACAGAGAGTTTATGGCACACCAGTCCATCTTCTGTTGTAGGAACATTTTAAAAGCCACAGTGATGTGTTAAAATAAGTGACCCTTGAAAATATTTTAAATATAGGTAATGTTTGTTAATATAGACACATGGCTTCAGAAGGGCTAAAACTCACAGGCGTTGTGTGGGAAAACTCTGGAAGACAAAGTTTAGGATTATTTGAGTTGCCCCCCTCCCCTTCCCTCCTTTCTCTCCTGAGGGATTTGGCACACTTCAAGAAACACCTGCTTCAACCCTCCGTCCTCAACTATGGAGCTGACATTTCGATAGTTGGTCATGTAACACTACTTTTATGATTCGATGGTAAAAATGTGTCATTGGAGGTTGAGTCCAAAATTTGTGAGATAAATGATGTAACCCTTCATGGCTCTGTTTCTACGACAAAACACTTCCAGCGTCAATTAAAGCCCCCTTTCATATCTCTTTCATTATTCACTGACCACAGCATTTAGAGAGTCACTATGGGAAACTCAGACCAACATGCAACCCACACAGACCAACCAGGCGTACATATGAAAACTGAACAGATTATAAAGAAAACAAATATAGAGACATACCAGTAACACTCAAACTGCTGTGCCCCTCAAGTTTTAATTGACATAAAATTTGACTGAATGCTGAAAAAAATGTAGCATACATTAAAGCGCTCGTCGGAAATTAGGTAATGACACAATATCATTTGGATTTTAAAATAAAGTTTGTCGGATTATTGCAACCTTGCAAGCATAATATATTTCTTGATATCTAACTGTACTTCATCTATAGGTAAAATAGTAAGAATCTTTCAATTTGACTGAGCGTGTTCTGAGTCAAAGTCATTGATCCCAGCATCAGGCAGCAGATCTGCTATAGGGTCAAGACTTTCCCAGATTCACACAGAGCTCTAAGAGATCCTGAACTTCACCCCTAAGTCCGCCACCTGTTCCCATGATATCTAACCCATTGCCCTTTTACCAATGAAACCATTCGCAGCGTGTAATCTTTTATTGTGCAGCCATGCTCTCTGATTGGCTGAGACTGTGAGAAACTTCTCCCAGACCCAAACCCACACATTCATATGGAGATGTGGGACTATAAATAGGAGGGATGAAGCCAGCAGAGATCAGATTCTCTCTACAGAGACCTCTACAGCACAGACATCCAGACATGGCACCTACAATCACTGCAGCAATGACCAACTCTCAGGAGCATCTGACTCTGACCCACAAGGTAAATTCAAGATCCAAGAAAACTGAACCTTTCATTTGAAGATGTCTTCTTACACTAACTTGCGTCTCAGAATAAGTTGACTAATGATTTTTGTTTTTCTTTCTGCAGCTCAGAAAGCCTCAGGTGGAGAAGTTACGCAGAGAGCGAATCAACAGCAGCATTGAGCAGCTCAAGTCTCTCCTGGGTCCAGAGTTCAAACAAGAGCCAGACTCCAAGCTGGAGAAAGCAGACATCCTGGAGATGACAGTTTGTGTCCTCAGACGACTGCAGCAGCAGAATCACCAGCAGAGAAGACTGCTGAACCACTTCAACAAGCTGCAGCCTTCCTCTGATAAGAACCTGAGAGAGGCTGACTTCTCTCCTCTGAGCTCCACAGTCCAGACCAGCAACACCAAAGAGAAGAGTCCAGTCAACAGCGCCCCCTGGAGGCCGTGGTAGACACCTACAGACTGGAGATACTACCAGACAAACTGAGACGACCACATTGGTCAAATATTACTGGACTGAATTGTGTGAAATTTCAAAGACTTGTTCTTCTGTTTTTACAGAAGGCTTTTCCCTTTTCATGGGAAATGAGAGCAAATTATTTTAAGAAAGAGAACTTGTCATTGTCATGCATGTTGCATGAACATAAACTAATTGCATCAGCAATTATAATAATAATTCCTGTACCGGATACCACCTTTAAATATATGCTATGCATATACATGTGGTATTTCTGTTTACATATATCTTAGTATGCTACGGTAACATTTGTTATCTTTATATTTGCTTTATTATAATGATAAAAAAATGTTCGTATGGACTCAGGTTCATTTTTGTTTCTAAAACATTTTAAAGAGATCTGTTCAAAGATTTAAATGCTTACTCCTTTTTATTCAAAGGATTTCCTTATGTCACAATTTTCTTGTGATACTTATTTGATGACCTGTTTGTCAAAATGAAAAAAATAATGGTGTCATTTGTTTCTTCTTAGGAAGGCATGAACATTGATTATTGAGAAATGATCTGTTTCAAGACCAATGTAAGTTTATTTCCTTTAGAGGATGGTTTATATGTCATATCGTCAGTTTTCCATTGACCTCACAATGTTTGCATTTTGATAATCAATTATATTAACTGATTATTAAGAATGACGGTTGAAGGGTTAATTTGTTTAATCCATATTGAAAACAAGTCTCAAGCTAAAGTGAGTACTGTGTGCTCAAACGTCATGTGTCTTTTATAAAGACGGTTCTTCCTTTACTCTCTTTGAGTACAGTGTGTCTTGTAGAAATCTACAAGCTGCTGTTGTGATGGATCATCACCTCTAGATGAAGCTTTCTTACTTCATCTTCCTTCATGTGCCTTGTTCAATAAAAAACAATGCAAACTGCAATTTTTTTGTTGTAATGTGTTTTTTTTTAAATCTAACTGAAATTATGGATTTTTATAATCTTTCAAACACTTGAATGATAAATGAAGCAACATTAAGCTTATTAATTTTAATGTTATTGTCATGACATATCTGTTCAGTGTAAAATTACAGATAAGGTTTAGATTCAAGTAAGATTTTCAGGGATGCCTCGTTATCTATGAAATGTGACTCACATGAAAAAAAAAAATCATAGAACCAAACAAGACAAAGTCCCCATTTTAACGATTGTTGGTTTAAGGCATTTATTGTAGACATTTAGTGCAGATACTGTAAAAAGTGTGATGCTTAATAAGGCACACTCATCCAGTGAAATGATGTGGGGGAAAGCAGAGGAAGCTAACTCACAGAGCCCTGTGGGACAATAGACCCTGACCTTTGACCTTTGACCTTTGAGAGATGTAAGGCAGCCTGGCAACAAAATTTGTAACTTCTTTTTAACTTCAATTTTAACTGTTTCTCTGATACAAGTTAGCATTGACATCTTTTTAGTATTTTCAGATTCATTTAGTAAGGTTAAATATTTTTTCATCAAAATTAAGACAAATGTATATTAATTCAAATAAAAACAATGCTATTCAAAACATGGTGCGTCAACTTTGTAAAAAAAAATGAAGAAGATTAAAACAAGCTCAAGTCCACTTCGGAAAACAGGACACTTACGATGATCCTTTCTGCAAATGACTGTCTGACAACAGAAGCTAACATGTTAAACTAGGTCTGCAGACATTTGTGTTTGATTTATAAATCTAAACCTGAGGAGGACTCTACCAACGCTTTAAAAAAGAAAGGCATTTTTCCAACAGGTGTGGCGAAATTCAGAGGGGCAAGGAACAAAGTCTGGTCTTCTCCCCACAACTGTGAAAATGAAATAAGTTAGGTTTGGGAAAAAGGTTTTCATGGTCACTTGACCAAAGAATGCATCTGTAAAGTTGTTGTGACCCAACAGAGAACCACACATCCATCGTCTGTTTGATCAACTAAGCATTTACCGTTTTTAAAAACTATTAAGGGGTTAGCGCTGGGGCCACTGTGGCTTAATTTCTTTATTTGTTACATTTATCTCGTTCTCTAACATTTTCATGCACATCAGTATCTGAACTCCATTTTATTGCGATCAACTATGACTCAAAAAAGTTTTTAAGACCATCTTTAAATTTGGAACTCTTCAGAAATGATCGTAGTCGTTATTTCTGTAAGATCTGACATGTACAGTGTTGGCTACTATCAACTTCATTTAAGTTTATTTTTCCTTTAGTATTACTCTTGCCTGACCTCAGTGGACAAAACAGGGAAATAAAAAAGTTCACTCTATCGGGCGGACCCAAAAATGGTACAGAAGTACCTCCAAATTAAGTTTTCTAGAAATATGGATCATATGTATGTGTCAGAATTATTTCTTTAGGGGACATTAAGTTCTACCATTTACACCACACACTCCTTGAGAACGGGGTATCTAAAAACCATTTATAGAGGGGCAAAGGCCTACAGTATTTTTTGCTAATACACAGAGTGTGGGAAAGCTCTGGAGAGCAGAGAGGAGTACAAAGGACATCAATCCCACCAGCACGGAAGTAATTCTCCAAAGGGATTTGGCACACTTCAGGAAACAGCTGCCACCCAAGATCCCTCCGGCCCCCCCTGGTCATAAGCTGAATTTATGATGTGATCAGTCATTTTCATTACTGAAAGTTTGATCAAATTAAGTTAATTTAGAAAGTATGAGAATGATTTGAAGCTGGGTTAAAATTTTGAATAAACCCCTAAAAATTCAAATTGTATTAAATGTTAGAGCCAGCCAATGGCACGCTTTCCCTCCAGATGGTTGGTGATGTCAGGTCCTGTTCCCATAACAACACTCAGCCGGCATCTGCCACACAAGTCCCTTTTGTCGAGCAATGACCACAGCATACAGGGAGGCAGTGTGGGAAAGTGCGCTCAACTTGTTACTCACACCGACAACATGGCACGTGTCAAATGACTCTGTTAGGCTACATCTGGACAGCAGGATAGTTGTCTTGCTTACGTTGCATGCAATAAAGAGGAAATACAGTATTTCAAACCAACTAGAGCATTCATCACACAACTCTGTATCACTGATGGAATGCTGTTTCATTAACACTTTATCCTTGTACAAGTTTGCATTGTATTAAGTTTGTTCATGATGTTCAACTGATATATGAAGGAAGGCAAATGTATTCATCGAGCACCATTCATGCATGAAGCAATTGGAAGTCCTTTACATGGTTAAAAAAAACATGACTTGACACTGGGAAAAAGTATAATAAAATATAAAGTTTATTTAATATTCTGAAAAAAGGCGATAAATGATTTGGTATCTGCTCTGTTTCCCCCTGTTGTGTACTGAAGTGCCCTGAGTCACTTTCCTGACAGAAGGTAAAATAGAATGACATTCCCACACATGTAATGGGATGATGTCATTTTCCCAGTCAACGCCATTGATCCCACCCTCAGGCAGCAGATCTGCTCTCTCTACATGGTCAATACTTTCCCAGATTCTCACAGACCTCTTTGACTGTCTCTCTATCAGTCCAAAGTCCTCCACCTGTTCCCCTGAGATCTGATCATTGTCCCTCAGGCATGAACAGCAATAAGCGTGCTGCCGCCCCAGATGCCTTATTGTCTCAACGAGCTCTCTGATTGGATGAGACTGTGGGAAACTCCAGACAGACCTAAACCCACACATTCATATGGAGATGTGGGACTATAAATAGGAGGGATGACGCCAGCAGAGATCAGATTCTCTCTACAGAAACCTCTACAGCACAGACATCCAGACATGGCACCTACAATCACTGCAGCAATGACCAACTCTCAGGAGCAGCTGACTCTGACCCACAAGGTAAATTCAAGATCCAAGAAAACTTAAACCTTTCATTTGAAGATGTCTTTTTACACTAACATGCTTCTCAGAATAAGTTGACTGATGGTTTTTGTTTTTCTTTCTGCAGCTCAGAAAGCCTCAGGTGGAGAAGTTACGCAGAGAGCGAATCAACAGCAGCATTGAGCAGCTCAAGTCTCTCCTGGGTCCAGAGTTCAAACAAGAGCCAGACTCCAAGCTGGAGAAAGCAGACATCCTGGAGATGACAGTTTGTGTCCTCAGACGACTCCAGCAGCATCAGCTTGTGAACTCAGCAGCTGTCAACAAGGGATTCTCCAGGTGTGTCCAAGAGACGACACACTTTCTGTCCAGACAGCAAGTGAACATGAAGTCCCAGAGAAGACTGCTGAACCACTTCAACAAGCTGCAGCCTTCCTCTGATAAGAACCTGAGAGAGGCTGACTTCTCTCCTCTGAGCTCCACAGTCCAGACCAGCAACACCAAAGAGAAGAGTCCAGTCAACATCGCCCCCTGGAGGCCGTGGTAGACATCTAAAGACTGGAGTTACTACCAGACAAACTGAGAAGACCACATTGGACATATTGTATATTACTGGACTGAAATCTAGGAGATTTTAGAAACAGGTTTTTTTCAATTCCTGTCATGCATGTTGCATGATCCAAATCTAATTGCTTCAGCAATTGTTATATATCACTGTACTTTATGTATAGCTGGTATACGATCTGGGTACATTTGTAATCCTTTAATATTATTGATCATACTGATCAAAAACATTGACCTGTCCTACTGAAGACATATTGTCATCAAGGATCTTTATTTGATATTTCATAACTGATCTGTTGTAAGATCTCATTTCTTATCCTTTCTTGTAAAGGTTTTCTTAACGTCACATTTTTCTTGTGATACTTTTATTACTCCCTGCATGTGATACATGTCTATATGTTTGACTGCACATCATGTGCAGCAACAATGTGGAGGAATTTATTACCTCTTGATAATTATTTTTCATTTTGAATTCAACAAATATTTAACTTGTTCATTTCTTGAACATTACTTTGGATCACTTCATGTGATTATTGATTAATGATCTTTTTTAAGATCAATATGTTTATCCTTTTATTATAAAAGGTTTGTTTGATGTACTCTCACAGTTTCCAGTGGGAATTTTATGTCATATATTCTCAGACTTCAATTTCATTTTTCTATTATTAAGAAAGATAAGATGTGTTGTAATGTTTTTTTTGTACTATTAGTTCTAATGTTTTGATGCTTTGTGAGAAAATTCACATGGTTCAGTGAGGACTGTGTCCTCAAATATTGTGTATGGTTTGTCTTTTATAAAGATGTTTGTTCCTTTACTCTGTTTGAGTACAGTGTGTCTTGTAGAAATCTACAAGTTGTTGTTGTGATGTATCATAACCTCTAGAGGGAGCTGCAAGACTTTATGTGGCTCATTGTGTTTTCTGAAATAAACAAACACTAAACTTGAACTTTTTGGTTTGTCAATTTGTCACATGGAAACAAACTTTGTACTTTCATTTTCATGATCAATAAATCAGATAGAAGTCTGAATCATGGATTGATCAACAAGACCTTTTTAAGCGTATATAGCAATGTTTATCCAAAACACAAATATTAAGAACACAAACTAAACATAAGGACGTTCAATTACTAATTCTGCTCAGGGGGGATAGTATTTAAGATATTCCTTTATTTTGTGGAGATACTAAAGTCATTTAAAACACAATAGGGGAAAGTACAGTAGAAGAAAAATACCTTTACTTCACCAATATTTTAGTTTGGCTGTTAATTGAGGTTTAACTTTAACCATTTCCCTCAGAGGTCTTACATGGTGTCTAATGAGATGCATAATAAGGCGCACTTCTATTGTTCCTCCAGTGAAAGCAGTGAAAGGACAGAGTGTGGGAAAGCAGAGGAACCTCACTCACAGATTCCTGTGGGACAATAGATCCAGACCTTTGACCTGAAGAGAGACAGATTAAAAGAGAGCTCAGCTTTTAAAACTGGAACTTCCCTTGCAACAGACATCTAATTGTTAATGTTTGTTGATATAAATCGGCTTATAAACGTTTCGGATATTCCTTTGAAGCACCAATATCTTACCCACATATTTTGAAAAGGTATCTTTTTAGTAAGAATGTATACATTTACCTTAAACACTTTAAGACAGTTATCTCCTCAAACTGCAGCTCAGCTTTCATAGCTGGAGCATCAATTACACTATACATTTTGTTATGACTGCACTTGATCATTTTAAATGTGTGCTCTGGTTACAGTTTAATGCAGTGACCTGATGGAGGGCAGGTTTGGGTTGCAATACAACACATTGCAATAATAAGGCACAGGGGAAGTCCAGGATGTAACTGATCCAGGACAAGGTGCCTGCAGCAGCTCAGGAGATTGTGCTAGCAGAATTGTGGGGATGTGGATGGAGGGGCGGAGTTCAGATTAAGTGAAATTCCACCACTAGCAGTAATTCTCCAAAGGGATATGGCACACTTCAGGAAACATCTGCCTTCCTTGGAACTCTCCCAACCTAATGATGTTATTTGCTGCAGGTTATATTCAGTAAAGTAACATACTGAAGATGAGTGATTCAAATGAATGACAAGACAAAATGTTTGGTGATATTATGTGGCAGATTATTGCCAGCCAATGGTGTGCTTTCCCTCCAGATGGTTGGTGATGTCAGGGTCTGTTCCCATAACAACACACCAGCATCTGCCACAGAAGTCCTATTGTGGATCAATGACCACACCATACAGGGAGGCAGTGTGGGAAAGTGTGCTCAACTTGTTACTCACACCGACAATGAGGCACGTGTCAAATGACTGCTAACCTGGACAGCATTTCTTTGTGCTTTACATAGTTAATAATAGTTTTCCATGATTTCACCGACGTTTTAACAAAAATACTATTTAAAAAAAATGATGCACAAATCAAAATCTGATAAAAGCAAAAAAGATAACAATACCTTTTTGCAAAAACAATTGAACAGTTTTACGTGATAGATTTAATGTTTGAGTTGATAAAAACTTTAGAAGATGAGAGTACAAAATGTTTTTTCCATTTTAAGAATACAAAGTGCTCCATGAACAAACTCCCCATGTAAAAGTAAAGACATGTACAGACATGTGCTGAGTCAAAGCCATTGATCCAGCATCAGGCAGCAGACCTGCTCTCTCTACAGGGTCAACACTTTCCCAGATTCAAATAGAAGCTCTGTCAGTGTCTCTCCATTACCCCCAGTCCTCCAGCTGTTCCCCTGAGACCTAATCATTGTCCCTCAGGCATTGAGAGCAATAAGTGTGTTGCCGCGTCACATGCCTTATTGTCCCAACAAGCTCTCTGATTGGATGAGACTGTGAGAAACTCCAGTCAGACCCAAACCCACACATTCATATGGAGATGTGGGACTATAAATAGGAGGGATGACGCCAGCAGAGATCAGATTCTCTCTACAGAGACCTCTACAGCACAGACATCCAGACATGGCACCTACAATCACTGCAGCAATGACCAACTCTCAGGAGCAGCTGACTCTGACCCACAAGGTAAATTCAAGATCCAAGAAAACTTAAACCTTTCATTTGAAGATGTCTTCTTACACTAACTTGCGTCTCAGAATAAGTCGGCTAATGATTTTTGTTTTTCTTTCTGCAGCTCAGAAAGCCTCAGGTGGAGAAGTTACGCAGAGAGCGAATCAACAGCAGCATTGAGCAGCTCAAGTCTCTCCTGGGTCCAGAGTTCAAACAAGAGCCAGACTCCAAGCTGGAGAAAGCAGACATCCTGGAGATGACAGTTTGTGTCCTCAGACGACTGCAGCAGCATCAGCTTGTGAACTCAGCAGCTGTCAACAAGGGATTCTCCAGGTGTGTCCAAGAGACGACACACTTTCTGTCCAGACAGCAAGTGAACATGAAGTCCCAGAGAAGACTGCTGAACCACTTCAACAAGCTGCAGCCTTCCTCTGATAAGAACCTGAGAGAGGCTGACTTCTCTCCTCTGAGCTCCACAGTCCAGACCAGCAACACCAAAGAGAAGAGTCCAGTCAACATCGCCCCCTGGAGGCCGTGGTAGACATCTAAAGACTGGAGTTACTACCAGACCAACTGAGAAGACCACATTGGACATATTGTATATTACTGGACTGAAATCTAGGAGATTTTATAAACAGGTTTTCTTCAATTCCTGTCATGCATGTTGCATGATCCAAATCTAATTGCTTCAGCAATTGTTATATATCACTGTACTTTATGTATAGCTGGTATATGATCTGGGTACATTTGTAATCCTTTAATATTATTGATCATACTGATCAAAAACATTGACCTGTCCTATTGAAGACATATTGTCATCAAGGATCTTTAGTTGATATTTCATTACTGATCTGTTGTAAGATCTCATTTCTTATCCTTTCTTGTAAAGGTTTTCTTAACGTCACATTTTTCTTGTGATACTTTTATTACTCCCTGCATGTGATACATGTCTATATGTTTGACTGCACATCATGTGCAGCAACAATGTGGAGGAATTTATTACCGCTTGATAATTGTTATTGATTTTGAATTAACTTGTTCATTTCTTGAACATTACTTTGGATCACTTCATGTGATTATTGATTAATGATCTTTTTTAAGATCAATATGTTTCTCCTTTTATTATAAAAGGTTTGTTTGATGTACTCTCACAGTTTCCAGTGAGAATTTTATGTCATATATTCTCAGACTTCAATTTCATTTTTCTATTATTAAGAAAGATAAGATGTGTTGTAATGTTTTTTTTGTACTATTAGTTCTAATGTTTTGATACTTTGTGAGAAAATTCACATGGTTCAGTGAGGACTGTGTCCTCAAATATTGTGTATGGTTTGTCTTTTATAAAGATGTTTGTTCCTTTACTCTGTTTGAGTACAGTGTGTCTTGTAGAAATCCACAAGTTGTTGTTGTGATGTATCATCACCTCTAGAGGGAGCTGCAAGACTTTATGTGGCTCATTGTGTTTTCTGAAATAAACAAACACTAAACTTCAACTTTTTGGTTTGTCAATTTCTCACATGGAAACAAACTTTGTACTTTCATTTTCATGATCAATAAATCAGATAGAAGTCTGAATCATGGATTGATCAACAAGACCTTTTTAAGCGCATATAGCAATGTTTATCCAAAACACAAATATTAAGAACACAAACTAAACATAAGGGCGTTCAATTACTAATTCTGCTCAGGGGGGATAGTATTTAAGATATTCCTTTATTTTGTGGAGATACTAAAGTCATTTAAAACACAATAGGGGAAAGTACAGTAGAAGAAAAATACCTTTACTTCACCAATATTTTAGTTTGGCTGTTAATTGAGGTTTAACTTTAACCATTTCCCTCAGAGGTCTTACATGGTGTCTAATGAGATGCATAATAAGGCACACTTCTATTGTTCCTCCAGTGAAAGCAGTGAAAGGACAGAGTGTGGGAAAGCAGAGGAACCTCACTCACAGATTCCTGTGGGACAATAGATCCAGACCTTTGACCTGAAGAGAGACAGATTAAAAGAGAGCTCAGCTTTTAAAACTGGAACTTCCCTTGCAACAGACATCTAATTGTTAATGTTTGTTGATATAAATCGGCTTATAAACGTTTCGGATATTCCTTTGAAGCACCAATATCTTACCCACATATTTTGAAAAGGTATCTTTTTAGTAAGAATGTATACATTTACCTTAAACACTTTAAGACAGTTATCTCCTCAAACTGCAGCTCAGCTTTCATAGCTGGAGCATCAATTACACTATACTTTTTGTTATGACTGCACTTGATCATTTTAAATGTGTGCTCTGGTTACAGTTTAATGCAGTGACCTGACGGAGGGCAGGTTTGGGTTGCAATACAACACATTGCAATAATAAGGCACAGGGGAAGTCCAGGATGTAACTGATCCAGGACAAGGTGCCTGCAGCAGCTCAGGAGATTGTGCTAGCAGAATTGTGGGGATGTGGATGGAGGGGCGGAGTTCAGATTAAGTGAAATTCCCACCACTAGCAGTAATTCTCCAAAGGGATATGGCACACTTCAGGAAACATCTGCCTTCCTTGGAACTCTCCCAACCTAATGATGTTATTTGCTGCAGGTTATATTCAGTAAAGTAACATACTGAAGATGAGTGATTCAAATGAATGACAAGACAAAATGTTTGGTGATATTATGTGGCAGATTATTGCCAGCCAATGGTGTGCTTTCCCTCCAGATGGTTGGTGATGTCAGGGTCTGTTCCCATAACAACACACCAGCATCTGCCACAGAAGTCCTATTGTGGATCAATCACCACACCATACAGGGAGGCAGTGTGGGAAAGTGTGCTCAACTTGTTACTCACACCGACAATGAGGCACGTGTCAAATGACTGCTAACCTGGACAGCATTTCTTTGTGCTTTACATAGTTAAAAATAGTTTTCCATGATTTCACCGACGTTTTAACAAAAATACTATTTAAAAAAAATGATGCACAAATCAAAATCTGATAAAAGCAAAAAAGATAACAATACCTATTTGCAAAAACAATTGAACAGTTTTACGTGATAGATTTAATGTTTGAATTGATAAAAACTTTAGAAGATGAGAGTACACATTTGTTTTTCCACATTTAAAATACAAAGTGCTCCATGAACAAACTCCCCATGTAAAAGTAAAGACATGTACAGACATGTGCTGAGTCAAAGTCATTGATCCAGCATCAGGCAGCAGACCTGCTCTCTCTACAGGGTCAACACTTTCCCAGATTCAAATAGAAGCTCTGTCAGTGTCTCTCCATTACCCCCAGTCCTCCAGCTGTTCCCCTGAGACCTAATCATTGTCCCTCAGGCATTGAGAGCAATAAGTGTGTTGCCGCGTCACATGCCTTATTGTCCCAACAAGCTCTCTGATTGGATGAGACTGTGAGAAACTCCAGTCAGACCCAAACCCACACATTCATATGGAGATGTGGGACTATAAATAGGAGGGATGACGCCAGCAGAGATCAGATTCTCTCTACAGAGACCTCTACAGCACAGACATCCAGACATGGCACCTACAATCACTGCAGCAATGACCAACTCTCAGGAGCATCTGACTCTGACCCACAAGGTAAATTCAAGATCCAAGAAAACTTAAACCTTTCATTTGAAGATGTCTTCTTACACTAACATGCGTCTCAGAATAAGTGGACTAATGATTTTTGTTTTTCTTTCTGCAGCTCAGAAAGCCTCAGGTGGAGAAGTTACGCAGAGAGCGAATCAACAGCAGCATTGAGCAGCTCAAGTCTCTCCTGGGTCCAGAGTTCAAACAAGAGCCAGACTCCAAGCTGGAGAAAGCAGACATCCTGGAGATGACAGTTTGTGTCCTCAGACGACTGCAGCAGCATCAGCTTGTGAAGTCAGCAGCTGTCAACAAGGGATTCTCCAGGTGTGTCCAAGAGACGACACACTTTCTGTCCAGACAGCAAGTGAACATGAAGTCCCAGAGAAGACTGCTGAACCACTTCAACAAGCTGCAGCCTTCCTCTGATAAGAACCTGAGAGAGGCTGACTTCTCTCCTCTGAGCTCCACAGTCCAGACCAGCAACACCAAAGAGAAGAGTCCAGTCAACATCGCCCCTGGAGGCCGTGGTAGACATCTGAAGACTGGAGTTACTACCAGACCAACTGAGAAGACCACATTGGACATATTGTATATTACTGGACTGAAATCTAGGAGATTTTATAAACAGGTTTTCTTCAATTCCTGTCATGCATGTTGCATGATCCAAATCTAATTGCTTCAGCAATTGTTATATATCACTGTACTTTATGTATAGCTGGTATATGATCTGGGTACATTTGTAATCCTTTAATATTATTGATCATACTGATCAAAAACATTGACCTGTCCTACTGAAGACATATTGTCATCAAGGATCTTTAGTTGATATTTCATACTGATCTGTTGTAAGATCTCATTTCTTATCCTTTCTTGTAAAGGTTTTCTTAACGTCACATTTTTCTTGTGATACTTTTATTACTCCCTGCATGTGATACATGTCTATATGTTTGACTGCACATCATGTGCAGCAACAATGTGGAGGAATTTATTACCTCTTGATAATTATTTTTCATTTTGAATTCAACAAATATTTAATTTGTTCATTTCTTGAACATTACTTTGGATCACTTCATGTGATTATTGATTAATGATCTTTTTTAAGATCAATATGTTTCTCCTTTTATTATAAAAGGTTTGTTTGATGTACTCTCACAGTTTCCAGTGGGAATTTTATGTCATATATTCTCAGACTTCAATTTCATTTTTCTATTATTAAGAAAGATAAGATGTGTTGTAATGTTTTTTATAAGCTTAAGTTCTAATGTTTTGATACTTTGTGAGAAAATTCACATGGTTCAGTGAGGACTGTGTCCTCAAATATTGTGTATGGTTTGTCTTTTATAAAGATGTTTGTTCCTTTACTCTCTTTGAGTACAGTGTGTCTTGTAGAAATCTACAAGTTGTTGTTGTGATGTATCATCACCTCTAGAGGGAGCTGCAAGACTTTATGTGGCTCATTGTGTTTTCTGAAATAAACAAACACTAAACTTCAACTTTTTGGTTTGTCAATTTCTCACATGGAAACAAACTTTATACTTTCATTTTCATGATCAATAAATCAGATAGAATCTGAATCATGGATTGATCAACAAGACCTTTTTAAGCGCATATAGCAATGTTTATCCAAAACACAAATATTAAGAACACAAACTAAACATAAGGGCGTTCAATTACTAATTCTGCTCAGGGGGGATAGTATTTAAGATATTCCTTTATTTTGTGGAGATACTAAAGTCATTTAAAACCAAATGGGGGAAAGTACAGTAGAAGAAAAATACCTTTACTTCACCAATATTTTAGTTTGGCTGTTAATTGAGGTTTAACTTTAACCATTTCCCTCAGAGGTCTTACATGGTGTCTAATGAGATGCATAATAAGGCACACTTCTATTGTTCCTCCAGTGAAAGCAGTGAAAGGACAGAGTGTGGGAAAGCAGAGGAACCTCACTCACAGATTCCTGTGGGACAATAGATCCAGACCTTTGACCTGAAGAGAGACAGATTAAAAGAGAGCTCAGCTTTTAAAACTGGAACTTCCCTTGCAACAGACATCTAATTGTTAATGTTTGTTGATATAAATCGGATTATAAACGTTTCGGATATTCCTTTGAAGCACCAATATCTTACCCACATATTTTGAAAAGGTATCTTTTTAGTAAGAATGTATACATTTACCTTAAACACTTTAAGACAGTTATCTCCTCAAACTGCAGCTCAGCTTTCATAGCTGGAGCATCAATTACACTATACTTTTTGTTATGGCTGCACTTGATCATTTTAAATGTGTGCTCTGGTTACAGTTTAATGCAGTGACCTGACGGAGGGCAGGTTTGGGTTGCAATACAACACATTGCAATAATAAGGCACAGGGGAAGTCCAGGATGTAACTGATCCAGGACAAGGTGCCTGCAGCAGCTCAGGAGATTGTGCTAGCAGAATTGTGGGGATGTGGATGGAGGGGCGGAGTTCAGATTAAGTGAAATTCCCACCACTAGCAGTAATTCTCCAAAGGGATATGGCACACTTCAGGAAACATCTGCCTTCCTTGGAACTCTCCCAACCTAATGATGTTATTTGCTGCAGGTTATATTCAGTAAAGTAACATACTGAAGATGAGTGATTCAAATGAATGACAAGACAAAATGTTTGGTGATATTATGTGGCAGATTATTGCCAGCCAATGGTGTGCTTTCCCTCCAGATGGTTGGTGATGTCAGGGTCTGTTCCCACAACAACACACCAGCATCTGCCACAGAAGTCCTATTGTGGATCAATCACCACACCATACAGGGAGGCAGTGTGGGAAAGTGTGCTCAACTTGTTACTCACACCGACAATGAGGCACGTGTCAAATGACTGCTAACCTGGACAGCATTTCTTCGTGCTTTACATAGTTAAAAATAGTTTTCCATGATTTCACC